CAGCATTATGAATAACGTCCTTGACTTACATATAAGCAACATGCTTGGTATAATCTTTGTAAATTTTCACTATGATGTTTCGATCTCTATGTTCTTGAATTCTTTAGCTTCTTTTCCGTTGGTTCTGAGTATGAAGGAAAGACCAGGAGGCTTTTCTGAGGTCTCCTCAAACCACAACAGTTCTGGGCAGGTATGATGATGCAGGTCTGTAACCCAGCACTTGGGAGGCTGAGGCAAGAGGATCACCATGTGTTTGAGGGCACGTGAGGCTACACAGTGAGTTCAAAGCCAACCTGTAGTACGTAGGGCGACCCTGTCTCAAAACAACAACCAAAGACACTTCAGGGTTCTCATGATAAATCACTATATTTGCATTTTCCGCAATAGACCTAGCATCTGTGAAGCTGCTTACTATGAATCATGCTCCAACAGAATGACCTTCTCCAGGACCCTGGTAGGAATGGTTTTTGAGACTGCCATACAGAGACCTACCTCAGGCAGCTGCACAAACGAACAGAATTTCATCCTGCAGCAAAAGACAAGTATGAAGTCAGCCTCAGGAGAAGCAGAATGTGGGCAGGAGAGAGGAGCAGGAGCGCCTGGGGTCCTGGGGGAATCTGCTCCCATATCTCAGCCACTGTTTGGCCCTTAGAGGCTGTGGTGCACCTGGGAAGCCTGGTCATGGAACCCTTTATTTTAACTAGTGCTCCTAAACAGTGGCACCAGCACCTTCACAAGCACACCACTGTACAGGAGGCGCCGGGTGGTAGGTGGTCCTCCTCTCCAAGCTGTCCACCGCTTCACACTTGGTTCTGTTTTGCAGGTGGGCTCACCAGGACAGCAGAGCGTGTGCTGGAGTACCGCGTCTTAGTGTGGTGTTCAGGCCTTGCTACTCCTGAATTTGGCAGGGTCCCACACTCAGAGAGGAACAGGGCTGGGATGGGCTGGGCGCATGCTTTGGGGTTTCCAGACACAGTGTGACAGCAATGTCCCTAGTGACATCTCAGGACACACAGATGCTTAGTGCAGGAGATCCAGGAGCAGGGTCACAGATGGCCACACTCTGGGTCCTCCCAGCTGCTGTGGATTGGGGTGGTGGGCTCTTCCTTCAATTTTATTTTCATTAGTCCATGTTTTTAGTACATTACGATGGCATTCCTTGGGGAAGTTGGTGCGTGGCCTTAACACATCTTTGTGAAAAACCACAGGGTGTTTAAGTGTGTGTGTCTTATTTATTACACTTAACCTGACAGTCTCAGGCTGCATCTGCTTCCTGCAAATGACTCAAGTTTAACCCTCTTTGTGGCACAGTTGCACTCCATTGTGTATGGACAACACAGATGACTGACTCATCTTCCCTGCCTCAGGCCTGGACATAAAGTACTGGTGAGGGGGCTGGGAAACCCTTACACCAAAGGGCCATGAGTGCATCAAGATGCAGCACCGGCCTGGAGCACCTGTAAGTTAGCATTCCCCATGAGCACTGCCACACTTTATAAAACAACACTATATAGCAAATGAATACCACGATAGCACAAGAAAGACCACTAAAATAAAAGCTTTATATTTAGTATCTGTAACTGAAAACAGTTTCCCGCTTTTTGAACAAGGAACCCACATTTTAATGACTCCTTGGCCTCTGCCAATTGCAGCCGGAAGATCCCTATTACGTTTAAGCAGAGAGGTGCTAAGGGATGCATAATCCTTTCACACAGCTGTACGCGTTAGGACCTCTTTAATGGCCTCTGTCGCAAAATTCCATTCTAAAAACTGTTCTAGTTGTTCAAATCTTTATCCAACATTAAAAGGTAAAATCGCCTAGAGTCCTCTTTTACTTGTCTTTTGCTCTTATGGTGCCTAAAATTATATTCCTGGCATAAAATTCACACTCATTGTATGTATAAAGAATAAATGTCAATGCCACCAGTCCTTAAGACAAGAATGCTTCCAAGAATCACCACCGCACATCCAGCCCTAATGACAGATAAGAAGAAAGGCTTAGTCTATCAGAAGTGTATTGATAATGGCCTAGCAAAGGCCTGATTTACATCCTGCACTAATGCAGGACTGGGAGTGCAGATAAACACTGCTCCACAGGTAACCTGAACTCTCAAGTCAGGGTACACAAGTCCCATTGGAAACGATTTGCAAACATTCTATCCATTTAACTCCAAATGCCAAAATATTTAACAACACATTTTGTATAGTTTCCAAAGTCCTTCTGTCTATTTGTCAAATACGTAAGCAAATATTTTATTTTAAAAATAATAGATTGTCATTGGATCTTCTCTTGTCTTTCTGTTTTCTTTTTAGCTTCTTGGCAAGAGAGAAAAACATACACACACACGGAAAGAGAGAGAGACAGACGGAGGGAGAGAGAGACACAGAGAGGGGAGAGAGAGAGACAGAGAGAGACAGAGAGAGAGAGAGAGAGACAGAGAGAGAGAGAGAGAGAGAGAGAGAGAGAGAGAGAGAGAGAGAGAACGAATTTATATCAAGGGAAGAAAAGAAAAGGAGAAAGAAATAGGTAATGCAAAAAGATGAGAGGAGAAACTAAGAACCTTGAAATCAATCCCCACTAACCTAGATGAATCAGATTCAGCTGCATCTTCTTCCTGATTTTCACCTGAAGAAGAATAATGCCACCCACACTGCAAGGCTCTGCTGGGGAATAAGCGAAATGACACATGTGGACACAGCCAGCAAGGCACCATAAACAGATCTGGTACCAGTCACTGAGCTGAATGAGCACTCTGCATTCCTGTGCAGAGAAATCTCCTTCCTGAGGCCCTGGCCACCAGCTGAGCCCATCTGAGTGCACGCCCGCCAGTTAGCATTATTTCAGGAAGCACTGCCTTGAGTGACACCCATAAGGCACAAGTGCTAACAGTGCTCCTCCTGTGTAGATTTAGTTGGGTCTATGAACACACCTGGAAAAGCTTCTGCACATTGAACATTTCTTACCCTTGGAGTCTGCAGGCAACGAGACATTATTTGAGCTCATATTTTTCATAGGTAGACTTTTAAATACCACAAAGGTAAAACACCCACTTCTCACAAAAGCAAGAGAGGACTGAGCAAACACAAAACCCACTGAACAAGGGTAATTAATATTATTTTATGAAGCAACATAATTCTGATAATAAAAAGCATTAAAACTAAATCCCTATATTGTGCCTTAATTCACAGCTCTGACATGCAGGTTCCAGCTCTGGGCTTGATAATCCATGGAACTTCATTTGTGTTTTTGCTTTTTCACTTTGCTTTAAAAATGTATTTAATCTTCTTTTATTTTTTAACGTTTTTTTAAAAACCTGAGCATAGGTTTACTTACTTTGTAGTTCTTTTAAAAACCACACAGACATTTCATATACTAATTCCCACTGGAAGATGCAAATAATATAGAATTTTATAAGAGAATGCACTTTTATCTTACACCCATGGGTGTAAAAGTGAATAGTATGCACATTTTTAGTCTTTACATATTTACATACATATGGGAATAATTACTTTTAAATATCAGGCATAAAATAAATATATATAGTACTTTTTCTTTTTCTTTCTTTTCCTCAAAAATATGTTTTGCAGTGCATATATGTGTGTATATGTTTGTACATACACACGCTGAGAATTTCAAACCACTGCAGCCTTTTCTATGAGTAAACACCCAAAATAACTATAAATGTTCCATTATAGGTAGATATTTTGGCTGTTTCTAATTTTAAGTGAATTAAAAAATAGAGGGAAAAAATTACTATAAGTATGTTCTCTCTTTTCCAAAATTTGTTCCAAAACGTAAAACTGATGGAATCAATAAAACACATCCTTTGAGTGTAGAAAGATGTTTGTCAATTGCTGTTTCAAAACAGTTTCACCAATGTATTATTTCAGTCATGTGTGAGGTCTTAACCATACACCAACCAACACAGATTAGAATCAATCTTTTACAGTTCCTGAGCGTCTTATTACAGGTCCTCTGTTACAGGGGTGCGGTTATCTGAACCTTCTGGGTCTGAACTGCTTCACCTCCAGAATGAGAATGACGGCAACACCTATCACACAGGTCAACTCCTGGGTTCTATTTGTTTGTTTTTTATTTTTTCTACACGTTGCTTCTTTTCCCAACAGATTGTGTCTCCTTGCTCCTTGATTGAGCCAGTTAACACACAGTTAATATGGACCTAAGTTATGCCAGGCTCTTTCTGGTTGCTAGGAACAAACTCTGTGATAAGACCGTGATGACACTGTCACCTGGTTGTATCCTTGTGAAGAACAGGAAACACAGACAAACACAATGATGCAAAAGCTTTCCTCAGGTGAAAAAAGTCATCAAGAAAGTTTCGGGCTGAGAGGTGCTGAGAGTTCTAGGAGTGCTGCTGTGGATATGGTGGCTGAAGAATGCGGGGAACCCGAGAGGTGGAGGAGTTCACCTGGGGGCAGCAGCGCTGATGCGGAAGCAATGCACTGAAGCAGAGGGATGGAATGTGTGAGTAAAGACAGGTGGCAGCTAAGAGGACTCAGGGACAACACTCTGAAGGGCTCAGAAGGCGGCCGAGGGTTTTACTTTTATCCTAAGGGCAGTGGAAAGTCAGAGTACTGGTGTTTGCACTGCTACTCATCAAGTTAAAAATTTTAACATCTTGTGTCTTACTCAAGCAGATACCTGAACTGTGGACATGAGCAGCACCCTCATGCCTGGGAAGCAAAGCTTGCAGGGAAGGACGTGACCTCAGCCACTGACCCAAACCCTCACCCACTCAGGTTCAAAGACGCAAAGAGGAACAGAGGCATCAGCTCAGGGAACTGTGCGCCCCTGTCACATCCACAATCCAGTAGCTCAGCCTGAGCCACCATTTCCTTTCTTTCCTGCCCAGTGTCCTTGCCAGTTGACTGACCAGGAAGAGGACCCCTGACTGCACTCATGAGAGCACCTCTGAGAAGCATCTGAGAGCCCTGCAGGCTGCAGCACACACAGCTCGCCCCACATGTGGTGAACCTACCTCTGCAGATGGTCCCGTTGCCCACATAGCCTGGTTTGCAGGTGCAGCTGTGCCCCTGGATGGTGTTGGTGCAGATGGCATTCTCGTCACAGTTGTGCTGCCCACTGCCACATTCATCGTGCTCTGTTTTCAGGGAGGAGGGAAAAAGACAGTCACATTTTCTTGCCTTGGAAAAGTAAGTTATTCATGAAATGCTAGTGAATAGCATGGACGGGAGGTCCCTGCATGACTGGGTATCTCTGCACAGCGCATGGCTGAAATCTTAGCAAATCCAAAAGATGACTGAGTACCAGAGCAGCCAAACAACTTTTATTGTCACTGCCTCCGTCAGGTGAGACAGAATACCCAATATCCACAACATGAAGGAAGGCTAATTTGCCCATGGTTACAGTCCCTGATTGACTAGCTCCAACACAGAGGGCTCAGGACAGATGAATGGAGAGGAGCAAGGCTGCCAAGTCCACAGTGGCCAGGAAGCAGAGAAGGGGACGGAAATCAGAGAGAGAGAGGAGCCAGGCACCACACAGTAGCCCAGCTTATGACCCACCCACTCACGCCACAGGGTCTGCTGGGCCTTATCATCTTATCATGCACACAGGACATTTTTAAGGTGAAAAGATGAACTGTTAGTAAAGATATGGGATAACAGAGATAAATTCAGAATGTCCTCAGCAAACCAACACGTGTGATGATACAAGATAAGAGGAATAAAGATAACCTGAAATGAGAATTCATTAGAGGGCAGACATTAGTTCTAATGGTGAGAAAAGAAAGATCTTCCTGCAGGTGGTTTTTCAACTGGATGTTCTAGAAAGGTCATCCTTGACTTAGAATTTACCACAAAGAGCACTCCAAGAGAAGAAGACCAGGGAGAGATTACCATTTTATGTAACATTCCAAAAGTCGGTACTCTCCTTTGCTGCCTGGTCTTCACTCTCACTGTTCTTGAAGTAACCCCTTCCATGGCTCCACCGCCCTCCTAAAAATGCTTGATTTTATTGCCACCTCTCTAGTTATTTCCAGTTGTTTCCCCATCCCCAAATTAACTTGCTCCCAATGAACTTTTCCCCTGGTTTCAAACACTTTAAACCTATACTCTTACCATGATGCTTTCTGCCATGTTTGGTGGGCTACAGAAATTTCACTTGCCTTGGTAACTTATGAGACTCAGTATATTACCTCCTTGGAGGCAATCATGTTGATACTGTGATATTTGCAAACTTTATCATGAATGCCTTAATCAAGAAACTTTGCAGGGTAAAATTGGGGTATATTTCTTACAATCCTCATTTCATAATATGGTACTGAACTTAGTGCCAAGCCCTGAACTGTCCTTATACAAGATTATGGAAAAATAACAGTGAAAGTATAAATATAAAAGAACTTATTACAGTAAAAGGTATATTGCCAAGGAGGGTAGGCTAAGTGTGTTAAAAGCTAGCATGAATGAGTTTTTTGAAGGCATGAATGGCAATGTGTCTTTTATTGTAGTAAATTAACTTAAATTTTTATCATAATTTTTATCATACCACGCTGATCAATGTTTACAGCAATTTTGGCCAAATAAAAACACCACGGTGTGTCCTCATCTACCTTACTTATCAAATCAGGTATCATGCAGCTTGTGACTCTTTCCCAAACTCAAAACGACCATGAAAGATCAACTTCCACTGAGTTAAGACATGAAGGCATCTATGTCAATGCAACTGAAGTCACTAACTTAGGACTTTCAGAACTGCTTTCAAAAGTGTTGAAAAAATGGATAAGTAGGTCTGAAATGAGGGCAATGTGTCTTTGTAAATTTTAAAATTTAAACATTTATCATGTTATTCCATCATGCCTGCATAATTTAATTCTCCAGAAACAACATGAAGTAAGTCTGTTCATTTTACAGTGAGAAAGTAAAACAAGAGGGCATTAAACAATGTACCAAGTGTCACAAAACTGGTAAGCAGGGAGCTCAGATGTGACAATCTGGACAGCAGTTGAGGCATCACTGAGCACACAAGCGACATGTGGCTCATACTAAACCAAGACACATGGATGCAAGTTCTTCCCATTCAAATCAGAGCTGCCTTCTTTTTTCTCAATCCTATATTCTCATGGAGGTCTCTTACAAACTTCCTGAGAAAACAGGAACTATTGTCAAAGGGCCATTATTACAAAATGCCACTGTTCATTATCTTTAGTCTCACCAAGTTTGCAAGACAAAGAGTGGATGTTTTCCTAAAAACATCAAATTTCTTTCCAGCTTGTGCACATGGTACAAAAAGCAAAACACAAGCATTTGTGAGCTGTAGCATGACAGAGCGGTTATGAAAATAGACTCCAGAATAAACCACCCTAGCTTAGAAGATTCTGGATTTGACAATTAATAGCTGTGTGTATAGAGTAAGTTACTTATTCTCCTATGTATTAAGTGTCCTAACTCTAAAATGCAGATAATAGAACTTACTTCCTTGGATTATCACGAGAATTAAATTAGTCAACATAGAAAAAGCACTCATGGAACATTGCAGGTCATTCTTAGATGGAATGTTTTTCCAAGAAAGTAGATTAGGAATGTTAGTTATTTGGTAGGATCCTAGATATCCATAATATGTCATACCTCCTTAACTGGAAAACAGCATTTGCTTGATAATAATATTGTATGTAAGATATGAAATAAATGCATCAATTATAGCACAACTTATAGTTTCCTAATTGTACATCTGAAAATATGTTCTGTTCTTAAGAACATAGATTATTTTAAAATTTCACAGGTCTGAACTTCAAACAACATTTTTCTAAGTCAAAATAAATACAATTCTAAGTTACCTATGTACCAGAATGAACAGCCCAATCTCATTCAATCCTAGCTTCCTTTACCAAGCAGCATCTCGCTATGATTCTTGGGTCTTAGACAAAAGCTCTTGGGAGTACACACTAGTATTATTCTAGCCAAAATAATTTCTTAGAGGCCCTGCTGATCTTGCAAAGAACAAGGAGTTGAGTCTCTGAGTGGACTGCAAATTTAATTCTCCTCCATGTAACAGTTCCCAATCTTGATTGATAGCACTTTAGGAACCTACAGGTCTCATCTTATTTCTACTGAGTGTAGCTATTTCAGCTCACATGATTTCAACCTCCCAAAAACACGAATCCCAACTCTCTCTAGGAGAGATGGTCTCCTTAGAAATGAGGATTAACTTTTGCACTCAGGGCAGGTGCTTTGTGATTCCAAAAGTGGAAGTTGCCCTCAGTTCAAAGCCCCGAGTAGGGTGGTAGTCAGCATGGACATGGCAGTGTGGTTGCAGACAGGTGGGTGGGAAGAACTAGGAAAGAAACTTGCTCTCATCCTTTGCAATTCCTCTGCCACAATAAGAAACAAAGCACAAAGGAGCAATTCAACCAGTCACATTTACTTTGATATATAGCAAGATACAATAAAGATGGAAAATTATAATATATGGTATAGTTATATGTGATTTGTGTGCATAAATATGAAAGTCTAAAAATGTATCTTAAATAATTAACACTAATTTGCACTTAGATTGTATAAAGGATAGAGAGGAGGTACTTATACTATATATTGTATTCACTGCAAACTCTAGAAAGCTTTACAATGATCATATATATTTTATTATTATACAATAGAGTCCTTCCAGGATTTTTTGTAGCAGATTGAAATGAAATAAAATGAATTCCAGATGGATGCAAGATTCGATGTGAACAGGCAAACTTTTCGAGGGTGAAAGATCTGGATGGGAACTCTCCCTGCTTCCTGTGAGAGTTTACCAAGCTCTCTGCTTTAGTTTCAGTGTGTGTAAAATTCAGACCACGAAATCAGGGCTAAAAGGTAGAAACACTGGCGTAACTTTTCTTTCCTAGGATCCAAACAGACTAAGTAAATGTTCAAGAAACATTCATATAATGTTCATGAGAATAAACTTTGTGAAGTATTTGGTACTGTTAATGGCACATAACAGGACCTCTAAAAACAACCGAGGCCATTGTCATCTTCTGTGTTGGGCTTGTTGTCCATGAAGAATTGCCCAGGGACTCCAGGAAAGTTTTAGTAGAACACTGATTTACTTCTACTCATTTACTTTTGTCTCTGGGATCCTCAACCTCAGGGTGTAGCAGAAAGTGAGAAGACTCAGGGTCTCCTTCAGCTCTGCCACTCACCAGCTCTGTAACTTGAGAAGGTGTACTTAATGTCTCTGAGCCTCTGCATTGTCATCCAAGGGTGTGAGCAATAAGAACCATCACACAGGGACACTACGAAGATTATAGAGAAAGTATGCAAAAGGTGTCTAGCTCCATTCCAGGCAAGTAATATAAATTCAATAAATCTTAGCTTTGTTCTACTGGGATAATTTAGAAAATGCATCATTAAATTACAGTGTTAATGAATAGGTGAACTATAACTGTGTTTCAATGTTTTATGACTTTGTGTAACACGCTTAATCCAATAGACCTACTTACAACTAGCATAAAAGACAGAAACAAAGCTATTTATTTGACATAAACATCCCTAAGGCGTCACTTTTTCTGAACCCTTTTATCTCTCTTCTGTGAAGAGAGATGCTTGTGATTTTTCTTCGTTTTGAAACTACCTAGAGAAACTCTGAAGAAAATGTATAAAAATAAAACATGGCAAGCTAATAATGCTGTGTTCATGTTTTACTTTATCATGGAAGTTTGCCTTCTCCTTTGGGGATTCTCACTATGAATTTAGTGTTCTCTTTCCTGAAACAAAGGTAATGGTTCAGAAATACAAAAAGGATTTGAGAGAAGGACTGGCAAAAGGGAATACCCTGTTTTCCTCCTGGTCATCCATGATTGTGACACTGTGTCCAGGTGCTATGAGCTTAGCTGACTTATGGCTTCTACAGATAAAGAAGATAACAGTTAAAAGGGAAATACAGAGGATGGGGATTTAACTCAGTAGCATAAGTACCTGCCTTGCAAGCAGGTGGTTGTGAGTTTGATCCCCAGTACTGATAAAAAGATTTTTAAAAAAAGGGAAATACAGGTATTTGAAAAAGTACTATTCCTATTTCCATGGCTTTCAACCCATTCGTTCATTCTTATTGAAATCTTCTCCACACAGATTTGTAGTTGACTGAACACTGTTAGGC